CCAAGTGCCCCTTTAAAGCAAAGCTGGTTTAATCATTTTATTGTTTTAAAGGTATCAGTCTGTCGTTACGTAATATATATTATATGTGATTTGAAAATAAGACATAACAAAATGACAAATAGGAATAAACTAGATAAAATTCTTCCAAGTTATTTAACGACGCATGTAAGCCTAACCACAAACTAAAGCTTTTACCAAAAGAATTGGTGTGCTCGTATAATTTACGAAGAACACGATCATTTACCAACCCAAAGACTTTAACAAAAAGAACTCAGTTAAGCTTTATAAATTTCGCATGCAATTCATATGCAATGTAATTTAGTAAACATAGATTTTAAAGTACATCTATCTTTCTTATAATTTTAAATTCATAGAAATCAATAGCCTTATATATAGTTGTAATTTCAAATTATTTGTATTTTATTTACAGGGTTCGTGCTACTCCTTGAAATCCTTGAAAAGTCCTTGAATTGAAAACACGTTTTTAAGGGCGCTTGAAAAGCGGAAAATAGGGAAAAACGCTAAAATTCCTGGAATACTCCTTGAATTTAATGCAAACTTAATGCTATTTCTAACTTACCTTTTAAAATAAATAACGATAAAAGTTGATTGAAGAGTTTCTGGTTGCTTGTTTACTGGTTGGTTGCGTGTCATGCTCGGTTTTTATCTAAGCTAGTGGCCCCGGCTGAATTAGCTGCACTGTAACATTGAATCAATGTTTAAACCACRCTCTAATACAAAAAAACATTGTCCTTGAAAATGTTTGTGCTTGAAAAGTGCTTACAAAGTCCTTGAATTTTGTAACAAGAAAGTAGCACGAACCCTGTATTTATTATATTCATATGTAACATAAACGCAATTCAGCCTATAGGCTGCAATGTTTTCTGAATAAAGCTATCTATCTATCTATCTATCATCTAGAAATATATTTTCATTTTATTTCGATTCCAAATGCCCCAAGATCGACGAAAATAACTGTTTTAGTTTGTTTTTAGCGATCAAAACAATTAACGGAAAGAGCGCGCGCAAGTTGATGACGCACGGGAGTAGGGTGAGGCGGCAATTTGCTCTGACAAGTTATGAGCAGCTGTATTAAAATGAACGACAGAATTGAAAAGAGCACCTCGGTATTAATAGTGGGGCGGGGTTTTAGCTCATAACAAGCGAAACAGGAAAATTGCATTAAATATAAAATCAAACATTTTATAAGGATTTGTACGGGAAAATATGCTGGATGGCAAAGCTTTGTCTTCCTGTTCAATTTCCCATACAACTCGTTATATTTGTT